TTTTATTCGGCTAGAGGCCAGCAGGGAGGGTCTGTCCGGTGTGTCTCATTGTCTATTTTTAATTCCTAGCCGTTCTTTTCTTTCCCTCCCACCCTGAGGTTGGGCAGCCGTGGCCTCCTGGGCCCTGTCACCCCTTATCTCCAAGTCGGCTTCCCCGGGAAAAGCCCCGCGGTCCGGGGAGCCGCTCGGCTGCGGCTGTGCTGGAGACAGCTTCGCTGGCCCCACGCCCCCTCCCAGCCTCAGTTTCTCTCCTGTCATCACGCATTTTCCGGGCGCATGCTCATGCGCGGCTCCCGCGTGGCCCTGAGCACAGAGCTGGGAGTTCGCTGCGGTGCTCTCAGCTGGGACCCTCAGACCCCACCCCTGCCCCCGGGAAGCCGCGTAGGGAAGGGGCTATTGTTGCTATTATAGTGCGAGTCTCCCGGGATCCCTAAGCCCCGGAGGCTCTCAGTTAGTGGTGTGTTTTTTTGTTTGTTTGCTTTTTGCTTCTCCCTCCGAGAAGAGGGCGGGGAGCTAGCTGGTAACTGGACCCAGGTGTCCTGGTCGAGGACGGGCCCCTCTGCCTCCACCCCCACCCCGAGGTCCTCGCTCCCCGAGAGGCCCGGGCTGGAGCTGAGAGCACTGCCCTGAGCCCGGGCGCCGGGCTCCAGGCTCCAGGCTTGTGGGTGGGGTGTGTGTCAGCGTCCCCTCCTCCCCGATCCGGAGAGAGGGCCTGGGGGAGGGGTGGTCACATTCCTGGTTGCTGAGTGGCCCCGGGGGGCGGGGTTGGGTTGTCATGGCGATGGAGATCGTGTGGTTTTTTTTGGTGGTGGGGGGGGGGGGGGACAGGGTGCCTTTCCACCTCCCGCATTCGCACCTCAGCGTCTGCTGGTCACGGGGAGGCCCCGTCGGTGCCCGACCTTCCTGGGGGGAGGGGCTGGACCTCTGTCCCCAGAGGCCACGGGGCAAGTGGAGGAGGTGCCCAGGGGCTGGAAGGCTCCATGTCTGGAGCAAGATGCCCCTCCGATTCGCGCCCAGGGCCCACCCTCTCTCCTGGGTCTATTTTAGCACATTCCCAACCTCCCAGCTTCCTGTCTCCCGGGCCCTCAGGTGCTCTGTTCCCGTCTGGATGCGTGAATCACTGCCTGTCCGCCTCTTTCCTATCTGCGCCTGGGGCCCCGGGCAACATGGCCACCTGGCCTCCGTCCGAGGGAAGCCCGGTAGCTGGAGCTGCTGCAAGTGCTGCTGGGAGTTGTAGTTTCTCCTCCGTTGAGCTTGGCCTGGGCGTCCAGGGCCTGATCTGAGAGGCCGGCTGGGCCACTGCCCTCTGCGTTTCCCGGACCTCAGACCCCTGCACGTTCACAGCTGCCTGCAGCGCCCAGGGCGGGCCGGGCAGGGCGCCAAGTCAGGAGGGCTCTCCCCAAGCCCTGGCCCTCACTCACTTGCCCTGTTATTTGGGCAAATAACTTTTCAAAGTGTTTTCCTAGAAGCCTGTTGTGGTTACTACTGGGGGGGGGGGGGGGGGCGGGGGCGGGGAATAGGCAGCCATGGCCTCACCCCTCCACTGGAACCAGAGCCGTGTGCTTTCATCTGTCTCAGAGGTTCATTGGGCAGCCTTTGCTGTGCACCTGCTGTGTGCTGGGCACTGCGGGGCGTACAGACAGGCCTCCCTGATCTCGGGCATGCGTGGTCCTCGTGGACATTGATTCGATGATAACCTGAACGGCTGAAATTGGGATCGTGAGGGTGCCGTGAAGGGGAGGTGCTGACAGCTGTATCTGGGGAGCTGACCAGGTTGGGGGAGTTTCTGGAGGAAGTGGTGACAGGGCTGAGGTTGGAAGGCTGGTCAGGCGTTGATGAGTACAGGAGGCTGAAGGGTCAGCCTGACTGGTTACGGTCCTTTAGCCCTCACCACCCTGTGGCTTAAGCACTGTGACTGTCTCCACTTCAAAGACGAGGAAACCGAGGCAGAGGTGCCATAAGTGCCCAGCATCGTACAAATATTGGTGGCAGCAGTGGGATTCCGACCTGCCGTCATGAGAAGAGGTGACAGATTGATGGGAGGAGATGCTCACCGGGGTCCAGCACTTCCAAAGGCCGCGCTGGCTGCCGTGGGGGGGGGTGGGGGGTGGGGGGGCAAGAATGGAGACTGAAAGGACGTGGGTGCTGTGGTTTTAGTCCAGGCAAGAGGGGACCGTGGTTGGCCCAGGGTGATAGCAAAGATGCAGAGCGTGTAGATAGGGTCTGGGCATTTGAGGGCAGAGTGGATGCTGTTTGATTTGTGAAGGAGCGGGGGTGACTTAACTCGGGGGTTTCTGATGAGCCGTCATGTCTAGCTTTGTTTGAAAAGTTCCACCGCTAAGGGTCATTCCACAGCCCCTTGGTGACCTCCTGGGTCCCTCTCGGGCTTACGCTGATGTGCCTTAGAGGTCAGCCCCCACCCCAAACCTGCAACTCAGACCTCCCGCTCAACTTACTTCTCTTCTTGCTCACAGATTGACGAGATGCCTGAGACTGCGGTGAAGTCAGCCGCCAACAAATACCAAGTCTTTTTTTTCGGGACCCACGAGACGTGAGTGAGGGGCAGCAGTGGGGAGGGCCCCAGGCAGACCGCTTTGGGGAACGGGTGGTTATGGCGCCCCTTCCCTGTGGGGCTGCACAGCTCTGAGGCAGCGAGGGGCTCGAGAGCACAGTCTCCCATCTCTCACTAGGGCATTCCTGGGCCCCAAAGACCTCTTCCCTTACGAGGAGTCCAAGGAGAAGTTTGGCAAGCCCAACAAGAGGAAAGGGTTCAGCGAGGGGCTGTGGGAGATCGAGAACAACCCTACGGTCAAGGCTTCTGGCTACCAGGTGAGCTGCCAACTGCCCAGTAGACCCCCTGGAGAGCAGGTGTGGCCACAGGCTCTGGATACCCCGGGCCCAAACAGGATGCTTAGTCTTCAGAAATGGGTCTCAGGAGAACCAGGGCTCTCACAGTAGTAGCTCAGAGGGCAGAGGGGCAGGGGCCGGGGGGTGGGGGAGGCTTCTGGCAAGAGGGTATGGGGTGCTGGTGTGTGGTGTAGCTGTGAGACCGGGGGGAGGGGGCAAGAACAGGATGGAGGCGGTAAGTGGGGAGGCCTCTGTTGGGCCCAGGGTGAGTGTAGCACTTGGCCTTAACTCTTTCACAAAGGCTTCCCGGAGGAGGTGCACGTGAGCCGGGCAGGACGAGGCGGGAGGGTGGGGGGCGGGGGTTGGCGGGGAAAGGGTCCTAGCTCCCTTTGGGAGAAGTTGACCCGAGGTTTTGCCTCCTGCTCCAGCCCTCCCCCCTCCTGCACAGAGCCCTGCCTGCCCGGCCAGTGGGTTTACCCCGGGGCTAATCCGACAGAGGTGGGTCTCAAATCACTTGTGAGACTGGGCACCTGGGTGGGGGTGGGGGAGAGGTGGGAAAAGGAAGGAGTGAGTGGCTGAGGGAGGGGTCTGGGGAGGGGGCCTAGCCTGGCAGCCACTGGTGCCACTCAGCCTCTGCCCTCACTGCCACAGTCCTCCCAGAAAAAGAGCTGCGTGGAGGAGCCGGAGCCAGAGCCGGAGCCTGAGGCCGCAGAGGGCGATGGTGACAAGAAGGGGAACACCGAGGGTAGCAGTGATGAGGAAGGGAAGCTGGTCATCGACGAGCCCACCAAGGAGAAGAATGAGAAGGGGGCGCTGAAAAGGAGAGCAGGGGACCTGCTGGAGGTAACTGGCCTCCCTGGGGCCCCGGGGCTGGATTCCCAGTCTGAGAGAGGCCTGGCCCCTCGTCTTAGGGAGTCCCTTGCTGAGAAGCAGAGGGCTGGGCAGGGACTGGCCTATCCAGGAAGGAGCCTCTGGAGAAAGGAGGGGGAGGCCCAGGCCGGTGGCTGCCACCCTCCCTCTCTAGCCTCAGCCCACCTCATCCATCTCTACCGATCCCGCCCAGGACTCCCCGAAACGTCCCAAAGAGGCGGAAGATCCTGAAGGGGAGGAGAAGGAGGTGGCCAACTTGGAGGGGGAGCGGCCCTTCCCTGTGGAGGTGGAGAAGAACAGCACCCCCTCGGAGCCCAGCTCTGGCCGGGAGCCTCCAGAGGAAGAGGAGGAAGAGGCTGCCAAGGAAGATGCTGAGGTCCCAGGCATCAGAGATCATGAGAGGTGAGTGAGCCCTGAGCTGGGAGGGCCCAGCCACCTCTGGCGAGGAGGGGTGGAGGGTCTGCAGCTACCCGCCTCTCGGGAGGCCGGGTGGACTTGGCCAGGAGATGGCACTGGCTGGGGCGAGGGCAGGCCAAGGCCTCATCACTAACCCTTCTCCCTCTAACCCTCCTTCGCAGCCTGTAGCCACCAATGTTTCAAGAGGAGCCCCTGCCCCGTTCCTGCTGCTGTCTGGGTGCTACTGGGGAAACTGGCCATGGCCTGCAAACTGGGAACCCCTCCCCACCCCACCTGCTCTCTTCCACTCACTCCCTCCCCAAGCCGGTCCCCGGAGATGGACCTGGATGTGGCATGCCATCTGGCCCTGCCACCACGTCACCTCCACGCCCCCACACCGCTGGGATCTGAGTCAGGGCTATGTCTTCTGCTCCATGGGCTGAGATGAGGCCATTATGTCCCTCCCTGCCTGGATCTGGGTCCCAGGGTTTCTGGACCAGCTGTTTTCATCTCCTTACACCCTTTTGCCCCTCCCCCAGGCATTCTGGGTCTCTGTGTTGGTTTGGGTCAGAGTTAGGAGTAAAAAGGATGGAGGGTAAATGGCAAGGGTGGGCTTCTGGGCCGAGAGGGACAGTCCTCAGATCGGGGTGGGGAGTGGGCAGGAGGACGGCATCTCTTGAGCTCCGGTCCCTTCCTCCGACACCTGTTATCTCAGCTGCCTCGATTCAGGGAAAGTGGGACAGCTCGCGGGGGAGGGCCTCCCTCGGTGATGGATAACACCCATTTTTCCCTTTGCTGATCACCCCAGGAGTTCTGGGAGTTGTAGTTATTCATCAAAAGATTTTGGGGCTTCCAGTTGTTTGGTCCATGGACTTGGGATCTGAAGGGCCGACTTCGCTCAGCTTCGGTGGGAGTGTTGAGGAGTAGCTTCTCCTTTTAGATCTTGGGCCAGAGATGTGATGCCCTGGGGAGACCCCTCACTGCCCTTCCCCTCTCCCCACAGTGCTCAAGGCCAGCCTGCAGTCACAGGTCACCCAGACATAAAGGAGAAGACACATTTTTTAGGAAATGTTTTTAATAAAAGAAAATTAAAAAAAAAAATTTAAAGATCCCTATCCCTCTGTGTGGCCCCCACTCGGCTCCTTTCTTCCTCGCTGTTGCCCTCGTTTCTGAGGTGCACTGGGAGGCTCCCCTTCTGCTAGGGCTTGGTGACGCTCCTTCTGTAGCTGGGGCTTTGGTGTCCCTCCTGGTGTCATTTCCCACCCACACGCTCCCTCCGTGTTTCACCAGATCCGATTGTCCCCACTGAGAGGACAGGGAAGTGAGTGCCCCTCCCAGCCTCTTTCTCGGGGTCTCTCTTCCATCTCGTGCCCCTCTCCCTCTCCCTAGGGCTCTGATGAAAAATTGCTGACTGTAGTTTAGCTCTGAGAACCGTAGACAATTTCAGTTCTAGGAAAATAAACCTGTTGATTACTACATTGGATTCTGGCTGATTTTTGGGGGGGTCTATTGAGAGGGAGAGGGGAAGGGGAATACAAATGATTTCCAAATTAACTTTCAGACTGAGGTAGGGGGTATCAAGCCTCTCCTTCATTCTCAGGCTGTTCAAAATATCCAAAGTTCTGCATGAAGGCAAAGTCACAGAATACACTATTTCGTTTTACTTCTCTTGCCCAGTCACTGTTTAACACAGGTTTCTCCATAAGCACCTGAAAAGGTAAAAAAAAAAAAGTGCACACGATGGAGGTGTCAGTGTCGATACCAGGCACAGCCCACTGGCCATGGAAGTGGGGCATCTGGGTTGGCTGTGGAAGTAACTGACACCCAAGAGCTCAGTAAACAGGCACCTTTCACTGGTGATCAGAGGCGAGGGGGTTGGTAGGTGGAATCTTCCCAGGTGGATGAGATCATCGATCATATGCGGGTCCTGGCGGATTTGACATTTCGTGACCAGATCATTGGCTGACAGTGTTTTAATCTGCCTCGGCCGCCTCCGGCAGAGAAGGGCGTATGGGAAGAGTATTATCCGTAGCCTTGCCTGGAAAGGGTGGCTCTCTGCTTTAACCTGGAAGCCACAATCATGTAGAAAATGGAGCCATCGTCTCAACTACAATTCCCAGCAGCCCACACAGCTTGTTCAGGAGTGTGCCCGGTGCGGCAGCCTATCGCGCTTGGCCTCCAACGCCCGTGGTGCTTCACGGTGAGTTTACGCTTCCTTGATTTCCTACCCGACCCCATTTCCTGTTTCAGCTTGCTTCGTAGCGGCGGACTACAACTCCCAGCATGCAGAGAGGCTAGATTGATTGAGCTTCCGCTCTACGGTAAGACTACATTTCCCAGAAAGCCGAGGGACGGGGACGGACAGGACTTGAGGCCCACATGCAAGAGGTAACGGGCGGAAGGGCCACGGTGCAACGGGTAGTAGAGGTGAGGCCCGCTCAGCTTGGGGATATTGACAACTTCGGGCTCGTGGGGGAGGTGGGTGCGGTAAAGCCCTTCCTTTTCCCGGGCTGTTGCTCAGTGGTATCGCCTGGATTTGCCCTGCACCGGAAGCTTGCAGCGGGTGGGTGCTGCCCGCTGCTGGGACATGCCCGCACCTGGGATGGGGCTGGCGGGAAAGCCTTTGGAGCTGGGGCCGGAAGGGCAGACGCGCCACCAGGCACTGCCTTGCACGGCGCTTTACTGTGAAAGAGACACCAACCACTCCAGGGTATGGAGGGGGAAAATGGAAAGGATCCGGGGCGGGGGTGCAAGGGGCTCGCTTTGGGGATCTCCTCCCAGAGCTTCAGATTTAGAATGGCGGAGGCTAAAGGACTTCTTGCAGGAGTCGTGGGTCTTAGGATGGGCTCTGCCCGTCTAGCTGTGTGAGCTGGGACAGACACACAGCTCTCGGGGCCTCGGTTTCCTGGTCTCACAGGCAGTGTGAAGACCAAATGCCAGCAAGAGTGAAGTTCCCAGCATTGGTTCTCATAGTCGTGCTCACTAGACCGTTTGTTAATTCTGAATGGGAGCATTAAGGCCCTCATGTTCAACTAACATTCAAAATAACGTTAGGCCTTTTTCATATTGAGAAGTATAAAGAAATGTCTGTTTAGATAAACAGTTTTTTAAAACTACCCATGGTTAAGAAATGCAGACTTCGTGGCAAGGATCAGATGGAAAGAGCCCTCCCAAACTGTTCCTCTCCCCCAAAACTAGAGTTACTTCCTAATTCCTTCCGATAAATATTTATGATTGTACCAGAATACATATATATATTTTTAATTTACCCAAAAGGAATAATACTGCTTACATTATTCTTGAAGTATTACAAATAATTTGAATGACACCAACAAGCCTGTAAAGTTTCATGGATGATGAAACAGGCTCAGAAGTTAAGGGGCCTTGGGTCACAGAATAAGGTGAAGTAGGAACTAGAACCTCCTAGACCATCTAACTCCCCATCCAGACATGTTTATGCCATTGCAGTGCATTTTATTTGTACTTGAGGCTTGCCTTCATTCTTAGCTCTACAACAAGGTTAATGCTGCCTCCTTTCTTACACGATACAATACAGGAAAGCACTTAGATGGCACCTGGCAGGTAGCAAATGCTCAATAAACAGAAGCACTTACTTTTGCCATCAGTTCTCCACCACCCTGTTGATTTAGTTCATCATAATCCTAGAGTCTGGCTCTGGGTCCTTTTCTTTTAGAAAAGAAGCTGTCTTAGGAGTGGTCTTTTCCTGACGGAAGATAGGAATTGGAAGTAATGTAGGAACATTTTAATAACAGTTTTACCTCTGTTCCCTGTTTGTGATACTTTATAACTGCCTGGGTTTTTTTGGTCTTATGCTAGTGTTTTGTTCCATTACCCGTTTTCTTCCTATCCTGCTGTTTGTGTATTTATTCAATAACTTTTTATTGAGTATCTACTATGTGCTACGCCCTACCGAGATCTGTTGAATTCAGGGGTGAGCTAGATAATATGATTCCTGGCCTCAATGAACTGTTTGGACTTTGGAGTCAGATATATGTGGGTTTGAATGCTGATTCTCCTGCATAGTAGCTTTACGGCCATGGGCAAGTCAGTTCACCTCTCTGGCTCTATTTCCTCATTTGTAAAATGAAGGTGTTATAATGTGGGGATTCAATGAGATGAGGCCCATTGAACCACGGAGTAAATACTTACAAAAAATCCCTTCCTTTGCTTCTTTGTCCCCTTGTTTCCACCTGTCTACCCCAGCGCTGACCAGGAAGGTTTCTGGGTCCTTCCCTGGCCCCGGGGATTTCTCACAGCCGTCAGCCATGCGTCTCTCGGCCCTGTTGGCCTTGGCATCCAAGGTCACTTTGCCCCCCAACTACCGCTATGGGATGAGCCGCCCAGGTAGCTTGGCAGACAAAAGGAGGAACCCGCCGGGGACCCGGAGGCGCCCCGTGGTTGTGGAACCCATTTCTGATGAAGACTGGCATCTCTTCTGTGGGGATAGGGTGAGAACCTCAGGGGGGATAGCGTGGTGGTGGGGCTCCTGGGGAAGGATCTTCCTCCCTGACCCTCATGTCTTGCCACAGGTGGAGATTCTAGAAGGCAAGGATGCCGGGAAGCAAGGCAAAGTGGTTCAAGTCATCCGGGAGCGAAACTGGGTGGTCCTGGAGGGGCTGAATACGGTGAGTGAGGCGTGGGCTTGTGGGTGCTCAGGAAGCCTGTCCCATCCAGCCCTGTCAGCAAGAGCAGCACAGGGCCTGGCGCTAGCTGCGGGCACGGTGAGACCACTGAGCCGTCCATTCTTCAACATGGACCGGATGCGCAGGGCTGCAGCAGGCAAGCTGCCTTCATTCCCTTTGGTTTCTGATAACCCCCTCTTTTGGACAGCATTACCGCTACATTGGCAGGACCAAGGATTACCGAGGAACCATGATCCCTAGCGAAGCACCCTTGCTCCACAACCAGGTCAAACTTGTGGATCCTGTGGACAGGCAAGCACGTGGGGTTCTGGTCAGATGGCTTCCATCGTCTGAATGGTGGTTTGGATGCTCTGCAAGTTGAGAGGGGTCATCTTGTGGGACATGACCCTACAGGCAGTCCCCGTGCAGAGGTAGCAGTGAGACAAGGTGGTGGCCTCAGTATTTCCAGCCGTTGAATTTTAGGTTTCAGAGCAGCAGGGAAACCTGGCTCCCAGGCCAGGCTCACCTCTTCCACCCACTAGGAAACCCACTGAGGTGGAGTGGAGGTTCACTGAGGCAGGAGAGCGGGTCCGAGTCTCCACAAGATCAGGAAGAATTATTCCCAAACCTGAGTTTCCCCGAGCGGATGGCATCGTCCCTGAAACATGGACTGGTGAGGCTGGGGGATGGACAGGAAGATGGGCGTGGGGGTGGGGGTGACAGAAGTGGGAATAAGAGATGTTAAGACCTTCCACTTGTCTTCCTCCCTCAATAGATGGCCCTAAAGACACATCAGTGGAAGATGCTCTAGAAAGAACCTATGTGCCCCGTCTGAAGACACTGGAAGAAGAGGTGATGGAGGCAATGGGGATCCAGGAGACTCGGAGACACAAGAAAGTCTATTGGTATTGAACCTGGGGGAGCTTTGCCCCCTCCTAGTCTTAGCCTTGAAGGCTGGGGCCACATCACCTTCAGAAGTCAATAAAGAGCCATGATTCCTGCTCTCCGTGCAGCTGCTGTCTTCTGGCACCCCTAACCCTAACCCCACGGTACCTGTTTCAGGGACTGGAGGAGGGGAGCATCTGTCCCAGTGTTGTTGTGGGTCCGGAATGGAAGTTAGCTAGCCTTAAGGTGGCCTTCCCAAGGGGCAGGGCTGACAGATTCTGGGATAGAGACCAAAGGGAGAGAGGCTCCCTCCAATGGAGACCTCTGAGTAACAGAAGTTGCCACCTGTTCTGGAGGGCAGTGGAGTTTGGGGGTGTAAGATCTGATTGTTGCATCTCTGCAGAATCTCAGTAGAGAGGGTGCACATCTGTCCTTTTCTATACTTAGTAGAAGTGGAAGGGAAATAAATACTGTAATTTTTTTGGGCAATCTTCACCCAAAGATATTTTTTTCCATTGATTATTTTAGAGTAGGAGGGCGGGGGAAGAGAGAAACATTGATGTGAGAGAGACACATCAATTGATTGTTTCTCACAAGCACCCAGAGGCTGGGGATTGAACCTGCAACCCAGGTACATGCACTTGACCGGGAATTGAGCCCATGACCCTTTGGTGCACGCACCAACACTCTAACCACTAAGCAACACTAGCCAGAGCAAGATTTTAAATTTTTAATAAATTAAAAATAAGTTTTTACATAATATTACATAACACATGGAGGGAGAGAGAGTACGAAGCTAAAGGTCTGTGGGACACCATGATTCTGGGGAGGATGCGGGATGCTGCTTCTCTGGGTGAGGACCCACTGTGGCACCTGGGTGGTTTCAGATGGGGTCCAAGATGCACCTTTCCTCAGAGTGCAGCAGTGTCTTCAGTCTCTAGAACAGAGAAGGCCTGACCCAGGGGCCTCTTGGTAGCCACCAAAACCAGGTTTCTGGGAGAGAGTTCAGGGCTGAAGATGGGCAGGAGCTCAGAATGGAAGCCTGGGAGAAAGGCAGGACTACTGAGAAGGGTAGACATGAAGCCCACTCAGCCCCACTTCGTGCCCAGGCTGCAGGCAGGCAGAGCCCCTTTCCCCCATGGAGGCCCCGGGATACTAAGGAGACCGGGGTCTCTACCAGGAACACTGGTGCCTGAGGTACTGACTTGGGAGAAGGCAGTCCTCAGTACTGCCCAGGACACTCGCTTAAAGTACACCTCAGGAATGCACGCCGGAGGCTGAGTCAGTAGGGATCTCTCTTTACAAGTCCCCACCCCACGTCCATCCCACGGTGACTCTGAAGCAGGTGGTCTAAGAACCACTACAGTGATGAAATGTGGGACCCGAAGGAGGAACCCCAAGATCCAGCCCCTCTAGCCCTAGGTCCCTGCTGTAGGCCACCCTCACCCTGCTCCTGAAGGAACAGCAGCCGGTCCAGTAGAATCAGTGTCTCCACCAGTGGGGCCAGCAGCAGGGCCAGGCTGAAGAAAGCTACCACGCGGTTCTCCTGGGCCTGGTGGGCCTGGAGAGCAGCCAGGTTCAGTGGCAGCTGGGGGTCCAGCCCCACCCGCTGCAGCCCCCGCTGCACGTATCTGTGGGTCAGCCACACACAGCACTCAGTTGGTTTTAGAACCTCCACCTCCCACTCAAACTGTCCACTCCTCATCTGATTCCAACTTCGCTTGATTTGCTACCCTAACTTGTATTTTTCTTTTTTGTTGTTAATTGATTTTAGAGAGGGAGGCTGGGGGAAACATCGATGTGAGAGATACATTGACTGGTTGCCTCCCGTACTCACCCCGTCTGGGTGGGGATCAAACCCACAACCTGCCATGTACCCTGAGCGGGAATAGGACCAGGGCCTGCTTTCTGTCGCCCTTCGGCATGTTCCGGTGCACAGGACGACCCTCCAACCAACCGAGCCACACCCTCCAGGCAGGGCCTAATGGGCACTTTTAAATGTTTCTCTGGCTATGAGTTGTCTATCCAAAAACAAATTGATCCAAAAATGTATTTTCAGCCAGACCGGTCCAATTAGCCATATTCTTAACATTTAAGTCTTGATAGTCTACTGATAAAAGAATGACAACTCCCTTTTAAAGAAATTTTGAGAAGCTGCCCCAGTCAGAGAATTCAATCACTCCCCTGCCTGCATTAGCTTTACTGTAAGACTTGCTAACAAGCGAGGGTGGGAGGGGAATCGGACCTCCCGTGGGCTCCCAACACCCCTGCCCCCCAACCTCCTCCAGCCTCACTCTTCAATCTTGAGCTCGTGGACCCTGGGGATCCCCTGCACGCCTGGCCGACGGAGCTTGGGCTGGACGTGCCGGATGACCGTCTCCAGTGCTGCCCGGTAGCAGTGGGTTCGGAGGCCAGGCCCTGCTTTCTGTAGCCTCTCGGCGTATTCCTCCAGGGCATGGCAGGCCCCCTCCCGCAGCCTGTAGGACAGTTCATAGCCAGGCAGCGCGGCCACCCACTGACTCAGTGGGTAGCCGCCAGGGTCACTCAGCTTCATGTAGCAGCAGCCCACTGAGGCCAGGGCCACCACCTCAGGGCAGGAGGAGAAGTGCCTCAGCAAGGCGACGCTCAGGTCCCCACAGGCATGGAGGCCTGTCAGCAGCAAGCGGGCCTCACCCTGAGGGGAGGTCTCCAGCGGAAGCAGAACCTCCTCACACAGGGTCCTAGGGTCTACCCACTGGGCCACATGGTGCGGGGAGCGGTGAGAGTGCATTTGCACCACCTGTGGAGGCAGGAAAGGACAAGGCAGCTGGGAAGTCTGTGTGCTGTCCCCATGCCACCTCAGGCTGCAGGAGGGGTCTGTCCTCTGTGTTCCCTCCTAAGGAAGAAGGTGGAGAAGAAGCTGGGGCATGGGAGAGAGCTAGACCTGGAACCAGAAGGGATAAATTACGGATCTGTCATCATAACTGCAAATTTTTCATGTCTGAGTCCCAATTTCCTCATGTGTAATGAGTCTAATACCCGACTGGCCATTCACAGGTGGTGGTGAGATGGACGTACCCGTGTGGAAAGCACTTTGGAACCAGAGAGTGCCTCTAAGATGTGAAGAGGCTTTGGCGAAGGGGAAACCTGGGGGAGGGGAGCGGAGATCCGGACCACATCATCTCAAGCTGAGAAACTTGAACGCGGGAATCCAGCCAGGCAGACCCCGCTGCTGCAGTCCTGGCTGCAGGAAGGGCAGGCCTACCTGCGGGTTCCTCTTCTCCTCTTTTCCCAGAGTCTGCAGGAGCTCCTGGTCCAGGTGCTGGGCTCTCTCCACCAGCCTCTGATCCCCTTCGATGCTCTTCACCTTCAGCCCTAGCCCCAGAGACATGAAGCGGGAGAGATGGCCCTGGAGTCACGAGAGGGAGGGTAGAGACAGCCCTGTTCAGCTCTCATCTACTGTCACCTCTTTCAGTGGCCAAGACACCTGGGTCCCAGGCGCCCAGAGGGCTTAAATTCTACCGTTTACTTCTATCACTCCTTGGCACCTGCCTCCCTGGGCCTAGGCCTGACAACCTGTTGCCTTCCAGCTGTTCTATCCCCACACTCAACCACCGCCCCCCTCCTCCACACACACACACAAACAACAGCAAAAATAAGAATGTTAGGAGTGTCTGGCTCACCTGGCCTGAGCCTACATCCACAACCTGGGTGCAGCCTGTGAGGTCACTCAGCTTTTTCACCAACTGAAACAGAAGGGAACAAAGGTCTCTTGGCCATTGGTTCTTGATTCCTGGGACCATTAGCCATAATAAGAGTGAAGAAGATGAAGATGGCAGAGGAAGAGGGGTAGAGGGTGCCATGGAAGATACAAGATAGGGAAACCAGAACTAGGGGTGCTGACCCTGGGCTCAGGCTACTCTCCTCACCCCTCTAAGGTCAGTGATTCAACCTCCCCGCAGAACAAGAAGAGCCCCTCTGTGAAGCCATGAACAGATTATGGGGGTGTGAACACAGGAATAAGGCAGTGACTCCGACAAGGCTACCAACCAACCCAGGATAAAAAACAAAACAAAAACCCACAAATCCCCCAAACCAGCATCAAGCTAGGGTTCTCGTACACCTGCCAAGGAAGGGACCAGCAGATGATATAAGATGCCCACATCTTTGTCCTTTCCTCCCTCCACTGGCTTCAGTCCCCAGGCTCCCAGACACCACCTATACCCCAGGCATCTCCTCACCTCTCCCAGCCGCCGGATCTCATGCTGCTTCTTGGGCCTGACATGTTTTCGGAATGGAGCTTTAAGTCGGGAGCTCTGGCTGGGGTTCTCCCGAAACTCTGAGGGGGCCTGAAACTTAGGTGTCCGGGTAAAGGCCAAGGCACAGGCTGTGGACTTCAGGGCCAGCAGGGTGAGTGGCCACACTGACCTGTACCTGAGAGAGCCCGGCCAGAACCCCAGTGAATCGTCCCATTGTGTCCTGGGTGCACCCATTTACAACCCAGGAATCCCTTGTGAGACCCTCTGAGCAATGACTGGCTACAGGGTTCAGTGCCAAGTCCCCCAGCACAGGGCCCCCCTTGCCCATACCTGAGCACTTCCCCTTCCCCAGGCATCCCCAGCAGCTGTGTGGCCAGTTGTGGTGGGTTCAGTCCATCCAATGCTTCCTGCCATGAGCAAGGGAGTGTGCCCCACAGGTTATCTGTAAAAAATTCCTGCAGAAGGGGAGAAGCAATCAGCAGGCTCCTACCTTTCCCATGCTTTCCACCCCTCTCTCAACACAGGGCCCCTGGCTGCAACCAGCAGGTACCTACTACGCATCCAAGCTACCTCTTCTCTAAAGCCCGCCCCAGCCTCCCACTCCTTCCTCAGAGCCCAGACTGCATTCTGAACACACCTCTCCTTTTAGCAATTTCCCACTTATGTGTCTGTTTTCTTCATTCAACTGAGTGAAGAACCTAAGGGCAGGGATGGTGCCTTCTCTACAATCCCATCCACACCACCACAGTGACTAACATGCAGTGTTAGTATGTTACCATTTAGTAACGGACCCGTGTATATGTCAGACACTTGATATGCCAGAAGTATTTTTATTCATTCATTTGTTGAACACAAATTCTGGAGTTTTGGGTAGGCACCACGCTCTATTCTAGGTTCTGAGGACACAACAACGAACCAGACAGACAAAATTCTTACTCTTGCACAGTTCACATTAAAAAGAAATGTTTTTCAGAACATCAAATGACACATGGATAAGAAAACACTAACAAAACAGTAGGCGACATTGAGACAGGACCACTTTAGGTAAGAGTAATGAGGAAAAGACTTGAGTTGACACTTGAGCTGAGATTTGAACGATGAACAGCAAACAGGCATGTAAAAAAAATTATGTAATAGCAAACACTTATTAAATACTTATAATATGCCAGGCACTGTTCTAAACATTATATATATATATATATATATGTGTGTGTGTATATATATATATATATATACACATACACACACACACATACACATACACACACACACATTTAATCCCCAAAACAACCCTATGAGGTAGGTACCATTTTTTATCCCTCATTTTACAGATAAGAAAACTAACACATAAGTAACTTGCCTAAATCAAAAAGCAAAAAGCTAGTATCAGAGCTGAGATTTGAAATCAACCTGACTTTAGAATTCTTGCTTTTAAGCATTCTACTCTATAGCCTTTCTGCTGAGGACAAACATCCCAGGCGGATCTGTAAGAGCAAAGACCCAGATGTCTGCCATATTTGTGGAGCAAAACTCAAGGCTACTGGAGGTACAGTACAGTGAATGTGGGAGAGAATGAAATGTGACAGGATTCAAGAGACAGCAGGGGACAATCCCATAGGGCTTCATGGGTAGCACAGGTATTGGTAAAGAGTTAGGATTTCATCAAAACACCTAGGAAGCAAGGGACTGCCATGATCAGATTTTTATTTTAAAGAGATTAATCTGGATGCTTGTGAAGAGTTGATTATGGAGGGACTGAAGTAAACACAGAGATTAATTAGGAAGCAGTCCAGGAGAGGTGATGGTGGGTTGGTCCAGGGTGGTAGCAATGAAATGGAGACAAATGGGTGAATTTGGTGGTATCTTTTCTAGAGGTAGAGCCCACAGGAAGTGTTGAAGGATTGGACTGTAGATCAGTGAAGGAAAGAGGTGAATCAAGAATGGCTTCTGGGTTTAGGGGCTGAACAATTCAGTGGATGCTGGTGCCACTAACACATCATCTCATTCATTCTTCACAAGGACCCTTCAAACAGGATTCCATGTTACAGCTGAGCAACTGGGGTGAGGAGGAATTTTCATTTCATGCCTACGTAAGTTAACACAGCAGGGGAGGCAGGATTCTAGTTGGAGCCTGCCTAATTCTAAAGTTTAAATTGTCCATTACATTACAAAACCAGGAATTTATTCAAAGCGTGGATGAACAAATTTGTGTGTTCTGGGAAATACCTCACATGCTCCTAGACAGTTCAACGTAGCTGCAAGCATGCGTTTTATTATTTTGGATTTGGAAAAATAACCTAGATATTAGAAATATGAATGTATGTGTCATCTGCAAAAAAACAAAAAAGGAAGAAGCTCCCCCGTTTTAACCCCTTCTTGTAACGACAGACTGAAAATCATGAAAGAAAAGAGATGAGACACTAACTCTCCAGATCAGTGGTTCTCAACCTTCCTAATGCCGCGACCCCCTTTAATACAGTTCCTCATGTTGTGGTGACCCCCAACCATAATATTATTTTCGTTGCTACTTCATAACTGTAATTTTGCTACTGTTAGGAATCGTAATGTAAATATCTGATATGCAGGAGGTATTTTCATGGTTACAAATTGAACATAATTAAAGCATAGTGATTAATCACAAAAACAATATGTAATTATATATGGTTTTCCGATGGTCTTAGGTGACCCCTGTGAAAGGGTCATTGGACCCCCAAAGGCGTCGCGACCCACAGGTTGAGAACCGCTGCTCCAGATGCTCTCCCTGTAGCGGGCACCCAGCCAAGCACATAACCAGGAGCACCCCGTCCCCAACCCCATGGCCTCACGATGATGTAGGCGTCCAGGATGGAACGGTAGAGAGACAGCACCCGGGTGAGATTCACAGCTAGCTGCCTCCTCTCCTCGAGAGAGAGGCCCCGGGCGGAAACGCCTGGCATCGGGGTCCGGTCGGTGGCGCCTGGAGCGAGAACGCGGTGAGGACGGAAGCAGGGTCAGCACCACGCGGATCCAGAGCCCGGGCTGGGTTCAGCTCTGCGGGCGGGGCGAGAAGAAAGCGCTCAGCATTGGCCCGAGACGCTGCCTCTTCCAGGTTCCAGATGGAGGTTCAAGACCCTAGGCGTCCTCCTGACATCACAGGGCGCGACGTCCACAGCGCGAAGCTGTCAGCACGGAAAACAAGTAGTGTGCCCGACTGTGACGCCACAGAGGCGGGCCGCGGCGTTCAGACCCCGCCCACCCCGTGCACGCCCCGCCTACCCCGTGCACTTCCCGCCCATCCCGGAAGTGGGGCTCGGGGCCCTAGCGCGCGGCAGTTCCCGCTCGTCTCGGCCTCCCCACACCTTCGAGTTGTACCTCCACGGGGCTAGAGGGGCCGGGGAGCGCGCCCCGCCCGCGCCGCGCTGCCGCTGCTCTAGCACTCGGAAGTCCGGACCTCGCTCCCAGGGGCAGGGGACCTACGGCCTCCGGCACGTTCCCCGCCGCACGCCTGCCGGCCCGGGGCCCCGTCGGCGCGCGCCCATTTCCGTATCCGGTTCCAAGCGTTTCCGTTCTCAGCGGGCACATCTGAGAGGTAGGTGGTGATGGCGAGGAACCGGCTTCTGGACCGCCCAAGTGCGCTCGCCGAGGTAACCGACCCCGGCCTCGGCCTCCCCCCACGCCCACCCCCGCTGCTGTGTGTTGTAAAAGGTCCTTTCTTGGGAGAAGGACGTGGGTGAGAAGCATGTGGAGATGGCCTCCACCCGGAAACGGGGGAAAGGGGTACCTGGAGTTGTACCTATTCGTGGGACCCGCGCTGGGGATGCCTGGCAAACCTAGATAGATGCCAGGTAAGAGTCATCTACGCCGTCCTCATCCCTGGTGTCGAGCGTACTTAGACGTTCTCTCCCTGGGCGGATGTAGAGCCCACCTGTCCTGGCTTTCCAGCCTTGGAAAGAGAATCAGGCTGGTTGGCCCTCCAACCCCCTCATTTTACCAGTGGGACAGATCTAGAGAGCGGGAGGTGACCTTCCTAAGGCCATGGGACTGGTGAATCGCGGGCTTGCCTCGGACAGTGTCCTTCCGTCATTTCACATTACAGATTTGCCCCCCTCTATCTGGGAGGTTGCTCTGCTTTATTTCCTACCTTAAGTTCTATGGAGATGGGTCTTACTGTTCTCCCATCTGGGATCTGTTATCAGGTTCACTTTCTTCCCCAGGGTATACCACAAACCCTCGGATGCTGGCCTGTGGGACTCGGCAGAGGATGAGCCCTCTCTCCTCTCATTGGTGAGCCACTCGTCCCAGCTCCTCTCCTACCATCCACCATCCTCATGTCTACCTTACTCCTCAATCTGGATTTTGGCGAACCTCCCCCCAAAAAGGCATTAGAAGGGAATGCCAAGCACCAAAAATTTGTCAGGAGGCGGCGGTTCCTAGAGAGGAGAGGCTTTCTGAATAAGAAGAAACAGCCCCCTAACAATGTGCCTAAGTTGCACTCAGAACCTGCAAAGAAAGGGGTAACGCCTCAGGTGGATGGCGCTTGGAAAATTTCTCCCCTTCCAAAAAAGAAGAAGACTGCAGACTCGAGCAGTGGGTCAGAGCGGTCCCTGGACAAGAAAGCCTCGGTGCCCTGGCTGACCCCTGCCCCTTCGCAGAAGACTGGTTCTTTTGTGGCGAAAGCGGATTTGCTGGAGGAGTTCCAGAGTTCCCTTCCAGAGATTAAGAGCCCCCCAACTCGCCCTCAGAAGAAGAACCCCCAAAAGAACCCTATTCAGAAGAATACGCCACATAACTCCACCCTGGCTCGTTCAGAGAATAAATGCTCTGGAGCATCCCAGAAGACGCCAAGGAAGATGGTGGCAATTGACTGTGAGATGGTGGGCACCGGACCCAAGGGGCATGTGAGTTCCTTGGCTCGATGTAGCATCGTCAGCTACAACGGAGATGTGCTCTACGATGAGTACATCCTTCCCCCCTGTCACATTGTGGACTACCGCACCAGATGGAGTGGCATCCGCAAGCAGCACATGGTGAATGCTACCCCCTTCAAGATTGCTCGGGGCCAGGTGAGCGTCATGGGGCACAACGATAGCAGCCAGGTGGGTGGGGAGAGGTCCAGGTAAGTGCGGACAGTGTTGGTGGTAGGAGAAGGCAGAACGTTTACAGAAGGAGCTGGGGATTATTTGTATAACTGGAACAGGTAGCCTGCAGTGAAGGGGATAAAAGACACAGGGTTGATGTGTCCGATTTCTAATTTCACCCATTGAGCAAACCTGCTCATTGTCGCCCTGTGCTGGATCCTGGGAGCGCAACAAATGAACAGGAAAGGAAGATGAACCAGGGAGGCCTGCAGAGGGCGCCCTTGGTCCACCTCTTTGTAATTTCAGAGTCACATTCTTTGCCTTCTCTAGGACACACTCTGTTCCAATAATTGCTTATATGCCAAAACAGTGGATTTTTTTTTTCCAAACTATAAGGGAAAGTTTAATTAGGAATTCATAGAGGTAAAGAAGTGAGTGTTAGAAGAAATGGGCTCAGAAAACAAGTTCAGAGGCAAAAAAAAAAAGGGGGGGGGGGTGGCCCTTGGAGCTTAGGAGAGAGAAGGGTAAAGGAAATATGCCTGGGAGGAAGAAGAGGAGGGGAGGGAAGATGTGGGTGTGCTCCCAGGAGGCGAGAGCGCCTAGCCTTCAGAATGGAGTTAAAGAGCATTGTCTTCATTAGGGGCCCAGCTGAACAAAGGCTTGGGAGAGGCAGGAGATGGGGTGGGTCTCTGACAGCAAATCCACTCAGCTCTGACAAGGGCTGTGTGTTGAAGTTAATGTGAAGCAAAGGTGTCGGTGGACAATAAACTGGAGGTGAAATCAAGAGCAACGAAATACTTGGTTGATCACACATGTGGTTTTCATCATAAATCACTTCCCAGTGCCCGAGCTGTGCATGAGACTCAGGCAGTGACGGCGAACCTTCTGAGCTCGGCGTGTCAGCATTTTGAAAAACCCTAACTTAACTCTGGTGCCGTGTCACATATAGAAATTTTTTGATATTTGCAACCATAGTAAAACAAAGATTTATATTTTTGATATTTATTTTATATATTTCAATGCCATTTAACAAAGAAAAAATCAACCAAAACAATGAGTTCGCGTGTCACCTCTGACACGCGTGTCATAGGTTCGCCATCACTGGACTAAGGTCTATCCCAATGAGTCTGGCCCCTCCCAAAAGGTCCCGTTGGGAGGCCACGCACTGATTTTTCTAGGACTATTGCTCTTGCTCACAACCTATTTGGAACTCCATTTTGGAATGGCCTTCAGAGCCTATGGCATAGTTTTTGGTTGTCCTCACTGGTAGGTAGTATGTCATACTTTAGGATCCTGGAATCATGGGAAGCTATTTGGTTGCAAGTCTAGTGTGCATGTTTCCTGAACAGCTGGTAAATACCCTTTGGTTATGACAGGAGGAGCTATACAGCAGTGAAACTGACTTTCTGTTAAAACAGCACTGCTCTGGCTCAGTGGTTGAGCATTGACCCGTGAACCAAGAGGTCCCTAGTTCAATTTCAGATCAGGGCACATGCCCAGATTGCAGCCCGATCCTCAGTCGGGGGCATGCAGGAGGTAGCTGATTGATGTTTCTCATCGATGTTTCTGTCTCTCTCAAAAAAAAAAATTAATAAAAACATTCAAAACAAAACAGCACAGGCATGGGTCACCCACTTCCCTCTACAGCCTTAGTCTACAAGTGATTCTTTTTTTAAAAATACATGTTTTTATTAATTTTAGAGAGGGAGGGAGGGAGAGAAAGAAACATCGATCTGTTGCTCTCATACGCACCCCAACTGGAGACCAAACCTGCAACCTTGGCAAGTGCCCTGACCTGGAATTGAACCAGCGACCTTTCCATGCACGGAATGACACTGAACCAACTGAGCCACAGTGACCAGGGCCATAAGTGATTCTTAATCTTTTATGGTTTGTAAACTTTTTGAGAATATGATGAAAGCCATAGACTCTCCCTGCAAAAAAACAAACTATATACTAGTACATATATGTATTGGCCTGTAATTTGGGGCTTCTGTCACCTCCCTGGAGCCCATCTTTGACTCCGTTTGTCCCAGCCTTCTGCCTAAGGTCAACATAATGATAATGTTTAAAGAACTTCAAGTAGCAAGCCAGAACTGAACTATATAGTTACATAAACATCCTGAATGTGAGTGTGATTTAAGACTGTAGCAGGTTAATCTATCATTGGAGTGGAAATTGATGAGAAGGTAAGGAATCACGGACGATGTAAGTTCAAAAAGAGTTACACTGAAAAATATCTACTTTCAGGGAAGGGGGTTTGGGGACTGGGTGAAAGAAGTGAAGGGATTAAGAAATACAAATTGGTAATTATAAAATAGTCATGAGGATATAAAGTACAGCATGCGGAGTGTAGTTAATGACATTGTGATAACTATATATGATGCCAGGTGGATGCTGGAAATATTGGGAAGAACATCTTGTAAAGTATTAGTATATGATTGTCTAACCATTATGCTGTACTCCTGGAACTAATACAAAATAGTATTGAAAATAAATTGTAATTGAAAAATAAAAATAATACACACGTGCGCGCACGTGCACACACACACACACACAAATACCTACTTTCACCTTTCACCTTGTGGGGAGAAGATAGATTTTAAGTGAAAGAAAACTTGGGGGAGAGGGCATTTCAAGGAGAAGGAGGTGGGCACTTGATGGAAAGAATCTGAAAGGACCTAGGACCACGATGGACTTTTAGGATGCAGGGCTCCACCCAAGTCCTACTCCTTACTACCTCTTCCATGCCAATTTCAGATCTTGAAAATACTCACAGGGAAGATAGTGGTGGGACATGCCATCCACAATGACTTCAAAGCCCTTCAGTACTTTCACCCCAAGTCTCTTACCCGTGACACGTCCCATATCCCTCTTCTCAACCGGAAGGCTGACTGCCCAGAGAATGTTACCATGTCTCTGAAGCATCTCACAAAGAAGCTGCTGAACCGGGACATCCAGGTAACCTCTCCCCAAAGGCTGCCAGGCCCCTTGGTTGAACACTGGGGGGTCCTTTCTTACTGCCTCTCAAGGCTCTGAGCCCAGAATTCCTTTGTAGAGAAATCCAGGCAGGCTGCTCTTAAAGGAGGAGCTGTGGGCTGAGAGGCCCATTGATCTCTCCATGTGTACATAAGGATAATAATTCCTGTTCGCTACGAGTGTTCCAAATTGTACTTGGGAAAGGAAAAAAAAGTCTTAAGTGGGTGTAAAACCCTAAGAAACTAGAAAACCAGGTGGTGATGGTCTAAAGACCTCAGAGTGGATGCAAGGACCTCTCATGTATTTCACATATTTGGCATTCAAGAAAGGGGTGACCTGCCTGGTAGAGGGTGTAGACATGTCATAAAGAGAGAGTTTGGAACTGGGGAAAATGGAAGACTTAGAAGGCCTGGCTATGATTTAGATGTCTTGTCTCTACAGAATAGAAGAATATGGCGT